TCAAATTAAAAAAAAACCACACACACCAAAAAAAACCCAACCAAAAACTTCTTGCACAAGTCAAGGATTGCTGAGGGTTTAGATACAGGCGTGTTGTTCAATTCTTCTAGTAAAGTGCTTGCCCTTGAAACAAGTTTCTAGAAGTCTTGGCTGGGTTGAGAAGGGGCTGTTTGAGCAAGGATGCAGTCCTTGCCTGGCTAAAATGGGCTCCTTATTTAATTTCTGAAGTGAATGGTCCAACCAAAAACTTCTTGCACAAGTCAAGGATTGCTGAGGGTTTAGATACAGGCGTGTTGTTCAATTCTTCTAGTAAAGTGCTTGCCCTTGAAACAAGTTTCTAGAAGTCTTGGCTGGGTTGAGAAGGGGCTGTTTGAGCAAGGATGCAGTCCTTGCCTGGCTAAAATGGGCTCCTTATTTAATTTCTGAAGTGAATGGTTTTGATTGCCTCCCGAAGCTGCGTGTGTTCCTCCAGGGCCTTGCCATGGGCTCACTTTAGGATCCCATCCCCTCTGTCAGCACTGTGTTTGGTCGCATCCCTCCCATCCCGGGAGAGGCAAAGGAGCAGACAGGGTGAGGACTCCAGAACAGGTCAATGATGGGGATGGAAACAGGCGTCAGATCCACTTTTCCAGAATGCCTCATGCCCTGGCAGCCTTGTCCACTTCTCCCCAGTCTGGGCTGGCTGCATCGAAAGCAGTGTTGCCCATCCCATCCCAGATGTTGAAGCTTTGGGGCTGTACACAGGAGTTCTGGTGCTTGGTACATGGTTCCTGGGGGGGTGCTTCACTCCCCATGGCTGCTGTTGCCTTATTTCTCACCGTGGCATGGCTTGCACAGAGCATCCCCTCCTCCCCGGGTCCGGGCAGGGGCTGGAAGTGTTCCCAAACAGCGGTTTCTTCTCCATGGAAACTTCTCTGTGAGTATGGTGCAGGCAGGCTTGGGTTTTTTCCAAAGCACTTGTTATTCTAAAGTACTTAACTGTATCTAAACTATTCTGCTTCTGAGAGACAGGCAGTGGGGATGGGGGGGAGAAGCGACTGGCGCCGGGAGAAGGTCGCTCTGAAGGCATGTGGATTTGCAGCCTTCCTCAATGCATCTGCTCAAATGCCTGAAGACCGTGGGGGCCTCTGGCTGGGAAGGGAAGGTGAAGCGATGATGATTCTTTGCTTGGAATCCTCCATGTGATCTCTAGACAGCAGCCCCTGTCTCCACTCCTGTGCTGTCAGGCCGATGAGCAGCGCTGCAGGAGCGGTGGCAGAGCGAGGGAGGGCTTGCTCACGCCGAAGCGGTCCCCAGGAAGGGTGATGGGGCTGGCGGTGTCAGCTGCCCACGAAGCCTCCCTTCATCCCAACCACCGCCTAAGCCTGGCTCGCTGTTGACTGTGGCCAGCAGCCAGCTTCCTCCTGTTTCCTCTGGCTTAGTCAGGCTGTGAGAGGAAAGGGAAGAGGGCAGTGATGGGTCCTGGGCACCCATACGCCCTGCGAGGAGGGACCCACCAGTACAGTCCTTTCCTCTGCTGTTAAATATTTCCAGGGACATGCCCGCTCTTGTGCGGGAGCAGGAGGCTGTGGGAAAGCAGATCCTGAACCAGCCCAAACAGCCTCCTACCTCCAAAATTACATTGCCCCAAAAAAAAGGCAGCATCCCTTGGTCAGGGAGGGCCAGCTGGAGGCCGCACACCCTGCACATCCCCTTGCCCCAGCACAGCCCCCAGCTTAAAAAGGGTGTTTGAAAATCAGCAGTGCCAGAAATGAAACCATGGGGGGCTGTCATTGTGACCTCCGGGGGAATTCAGAAGAATGGAGCTTGGTTAGAATCATGGAATCATTTCATTGGAAAAGATCTTTAAGATCAAGTCCCACTGTTCAGTCTGGGAAAGGGATGATGGCAGCAGTGCCAGCACAGAGCACGTCAGGGGTGTTTGTAAGGATAATCCCTTCTCCCTGGCCCCAGAGACTTCTATCTGCTGCTACCCACTTTCACAATAAGCACTGATACTATCAGCCCAAGTTTATTTTTTTTTCCACAGTTGCTGCATTCCCACCCCAGCAGGTGCTGGAGCCCATGGCTGTGGTTGCCCAGGGAGCCAAGGGAGCTGCCCGAGGGGCCAGAGCCTCCCGCAGGGGCCAGGGATCCTGGTGGCCGAAAGGTGGCGGGGGTGTGTGCTGTGTGTTCCTGCTTGGGAAGGAGGGGAACATGCCCACCCATCTGAAGCACCCATGGGACGTGACTGCTGGGGAGAGCCGGTTCCTAGCACAGAAAGGGTGGGCAGGGAACTTACTGGAGCAATGTTCAAGGCTGGGTGTCTTATCTCGACCCTTATCCACGCCAGTGCTGGCAGAGCTGAGCCAGGGAAAGGGTGTGGGGAAAGCAAAGCTTCGTACAGCGATGGATGCGGATGACCGGGATGGTTCAGTTTGAGGGAGAAGCTGGGGGGGGGGGGCTTGGTTAAAGTCTTCAAAGGTCTGCGTGTGGGTTGGCGCACCCTCGTGCAGCAAGAAGAAACAAAAAAAAAACCCACCAAGGAGCAAATTAATGACAAACAACCGCATGTCCTGTCAACAAAGGATTAAGTGTTGGCGCCTGTCCCAAGCCATAGCCAAGGGCAGATGAGTAGCCAAAGTGGGGAGAGGATTGGCCGTGGATGTGGCTACCAGCTGCTAGGGGAGGCGGTGCTGATTTGAGTGGTGGTGGGGAGGGAGCTGGGCCATGTGTCCCCAGCACACTGGCCCTGGCACGGGGCTGTTTGGGGGCTGTTTTGGGATGAAGAAGGGAAATTTTGGGGCTGGGATGTGCTGGGGGTGGATGTCATTACCACAACCCCCTCGGCTCATGGCCACCATGTCCATGTCGGGTGTAGGTGCTGGTCACCAGCAGGGAGGTGGGCCTGGGACAGGGGGGTGGCAGCTTTGCGTGCATTGCCCGCGGGCACAGTTTGAGATGAGGCTGTTCCTCAGGATCCTGCTGTTTTGGGAGGATCCCTGCTGCCGGGTGCTGCCCCATCCCCTTGCGATGGCTGGCGGAGACTCAAGAGACCAGCAGCGTTGGCTCCGTTCCGGAGCGCTCTCCCACTGCGACAGACACGCACGAGGGGCCCGGGAGCAGGAAAAAGGCTTTTTCAGAGCTGCTTAAAGCAGAGACTTCCTCATCTTTCCAAAAGATGACGCATTTCAGAAGCAAAAAGCACAACAAGTTCCAGACCTCCCCACTTTCTCCAGCCTGGGTCCCTCCTGGGTGCCAGCCCTCCTGCCAGCCCGTGTCCACAGGGACCATCACAGCCCTGGGCTGTGCTCTCCTGCAGGATCCCTCCCTGCCGGAGCAAGGAGCTACATCCTGGGGTAGGATTTGGCATGGGAATGACTCTGGGTCTTGGGACTGTGGTGCAACAGAGATGCCCCAGGTCCAGCCTTTGACCTTCAGCATCAGCCTCCTGTCCCCCAGTGCCTGCAGCGGGGCCGCCCAGTGCTCAGGCGGCAGCAGAGCCCCTGCCAAGGGCGCTGCTTTAGAGGCCGAGCGATGACGTCCACATGCCTCGGCCCTCTCCTCTTGGCTGCCATTTCCCTTTTGCAACGGAGCCAGCTGAAGGGTGGGGAGCACCCCAGCCCCTGCCCCAGGAGCCTGGGAGAGGCGGGGGCTGCTCGGGGGGGGTGGCCGGCAGCCAGGGTGATGAGATGTGGTCTTTGGAGACCTCCTCCTCCATCCCTCCTCCATCAGGACAACCACAGTGTCATCTTCCCATCCCCTTTCTCTCCTGCATCTTTTCCCCTCTTCCCCCCCTGCCCTCGCCCGCCTTTCCTTTCTTTGCTTTGAGCTGCAGGGAAGGGCACTGAGGAAGGACTGAGCTCGAAGTTAATCCAAGAAAGCTCCTTGTTCCCATGCTGTCTCCTTTTTCGGTGGCCCAAGCTAGCTCCTGGCTCATCCCCGGCCCTTCCTGCCCTGGGGCAGCGGAGATGAGCAGGAGAGGGGGGGTCATGCTGAAAACCTTGCTATGGGTGAAAGGGAAACACAGCCAAGAATTTATTATTAATGTGACCCAAGTCTAAACAGTCAAAGAGCAGTTTTTAGCTCTAGGTCTAGACTCCAGAAAAAGAAAATACAGCCGAGTGCTGTTGTACAGTACCAGTAATGCAGCTCTGCCTTTCTTTAGCTGGTCCTTGGGGAGCAGTTTCTTGCCTTGCGGTCCCCGGCGCCTGCCCTGCCCCTGGCCCCGTGTCTCCCCACTCCCGTATCCCCCAGGCAGCGTCCCTACGGGAGAGTGGTGAACGCATTCATCTGCTCAGAAAAAACTGTCCCGTTACAGCTGCCCGTGCTCAACCTCGGTGTCTCCTACGAAGATGAGGAAATGAAAAATAAACGAAAGCGGCTGCCACTTGGCCATTGGGAAAATGACTCAACTGAGTCAAACCAAAGCTGCAGGCAGACTGATCTGAGCTCAGGAGGCACAAACCCCACCAGCCTCTCCCCGGAGGCCTTGCAAACTCAGTGCATGGCCTGGGGTCTGACGCAGGGGCTGGCAATGCCAATGAGCCCACCCAGAACCAGCAACCGCAGCCACCACCCCTCTCCATGCTGTGCCTGACCCCCGTGATGGATCTGCAGCCCCACATGGGTGCTGGGGCGAAATGAGAGCAACTAAATGCGCTGTGAGAGCGGTTTTATTACCTGATGGGGAAAGCAGTGCCACAAGGTGGGACAGCCTCCCTCCCCAGTGCCACAAAGATGGGACAGCCTCCCTCCCCAGCATTTATGCCCCCTGAAACAGCAATAAATGAGGGTTCAATGCCATCCCTTTAACTCTTTCTTGGCTGTTTCTCCTGCCCCCCCCCCCCCCCCCCCCCCCCCTTTCTTCTAGTTCTTCAAAAAAAGAGTTATGAGCAAAGCCTGCGGCACTGGGGAGATGCAGCCCTGGCGGGGCATGGCTCAGTCCCTCCCTGCCGCCCCAGGCGATGCCGGGCCCCTCCCCTGCCTCCACAGGTGACGCTGGATGGCTGCCTGCTCCATTAGCAGCTCCCTCCTGTGCACAAGAAGATCCCCACGGCCGATCCCAGCAAGGCGAAGGTGCCCAGGATCAGGCCCAGCACCAGCGGGGCATGCGACCGGCTGCTCTGTTTCCCTGCGAGAGGCGAGAGGGATGGAGGTGACAACCGGGGGGGTGGGGGGTCACCCCCACCAGGCCACCGTGCCCCACCCCCTCCCCAGCCCCGGCACAGACCTGTCCAGGGACTCTGAGCCCGCAGGAGGTCAACACAGGTGGTGTTGAGGAAATGCTGGAGGTCCCGGGTGGTCTCGGAGTATTTCATCAGCTCCCTCTCGGCAAAGGTGGCCACCGCATCCCTGCCGGGCCAGCGCCGCTCCCAGGTGGCACTGGGGACGTGGAAGCTGAGGAAAGCCGTCCCGTTGAGGGTCACCTCGTAGAAGCTGTGGGCCGTGCCGTTGGGGAAGAGGCAGCAGCCCAAGTGGCAGAGCAGACTCTGGGTGTCTGCGTTGACAGAGGCAGGGGGTCCGGGTCAGCATCAAGCTGTGCACTGAGTTTGCAAGGCCTCAACCTTGCACTGCCCAGCCCACCCACAGCCTTGGTTTTGCTCGGTTTAGCCGCAGTGGAGACTTTCCCGGTCCTGGGCGGCCACGCTTATTTTTCCCTTCCTTCTCTGCATGCAGCACAGCTCTGGCTTCGTAGAGAGGGAAGGGTTTTCGGCACAGAGTGGAAGGACGCAGCACAGGGAGCATGGGGAGGTGCAGGGCTCACACCAGAGACCCCAAGATGCAAAGCTGCTCCCCAAGGGCCAGGTGAAGAAAGGCGGAGCTGCGGCAAAACTGGTTTGGGGGTAACGAAGAAAAATGAAGGTAAAATGCACCCCACGCCGAAACAGTGGAGGTAATGCAGGCAGGAACACGAAGCCATCGCCGTCAGCGTCCCACGCCTCCCACGAAGGCAGTGGGGTGCAGGCAGGGTGCAGGGAGGGTGCAAGTGGGGTGCAAGCACGTTGCAGGTGGGGTGCAGGCAGGGTGCAGGCGGGATGAAGGCAGGGTGCTTACACCTCACTGTCCCCCGAGGCTGCAACCCTCAGCCCTGCTCCCTGAGGGGCAGCAGGAAGTTGAGTGTCACCCCTCTTCCCAGAGTGGGCTCAGGGTAAGAAATTCCCAGCTCTGCAGAAGGGCTCCTTTTGCCCGGAGCAAGGTTTTGGTCATGCCCATGTCCCCATCCCTTTGCCCAACCGTCCCTGTGCCCAGGGGGGCACCTCACTGCGCCCAACATGGTGGCCACGAGCCAAGGAGGTTATGGCAATGACATCCACTCCCAGCATGTCCCTGTGCCTGGGCAGTGCAGGGGGGCTCCCCTTCCCCGGTGAGACCTGTCAGTGGCCATCCCCGCACCCCCTGGGTACCACTCACAGTTGATGGGCCTCTCCTTGCTGAAGACGCTGACCAGCTGTTCGAAGTAGACCAGGTAGGTGGTCACGTCCTGCTGCAGCCTGGCCCAGGCATCCGGGGGCTCCAGTGGCAGCACCTGGGTGACATTAAGGCCCTCCAGGAGGTGGCTGAGCTGCCCGTCCAGGCTGGCGTTCCCCCAGAAGACAGAGCTGCCCTCGGAGATGCGGGTCCCTTGCAGCATGGTGAAGGTGAGCGGGGCTGTGGGAGAAGCCGGACATCACCCAACCGCCCCATCTCGCTCCCGTAGGCCATGGGGGTCCTG